GAAAATTCACGAGTACAACTCGATTTTCCGAAGATCTTCTTTCTTTTCGTCATATCATCTGGGAATGCAACTTACTTCACTTATTCTGCATGTACTATCTTATGAAATGTTGACCGACATTTCGAAATGTGTTCTGATGACGGGGCTAGTTGGCTATAGTAGGCAGAGCACCCGACATAAATCGGGGACGGAGACCAGCAGCAAACACATTTTTAGCACGGGACTTTACACATCTTTTGGTCTACTTCAATTGAACCGTTTTTTGCTGGTGCAAAGTTTTTTCTCCCTTGCGGCATTACGTAGTATCTGACAGTGTTTTTTTTCCTGTGGATGAAGTGGCCGGCCATTATACTGCTGCTGTTCAACACATCAAGTCCTGGAAATGACAAATTCTTCAGAAATGTTCTGTGCAAATCAGTCACACCACCAAAAGTGGAGACCTCCGAGCAAACACAGACGGAAGTCACTGCTGGCGACGTAAGCACGCTTTCTGACAACGACGGCAGACGGTATACATGTCTCAATGAATTTATCCTCGAACGCGGTATTAAAATAATTCCGTGGGACTGTACGCTACTGAAATACAAAATGATGCTCGCCACAGCCTTTCGAGGAACTCGCCTACAGCAATGGCTTCAGACACTGAATGAGGTTAATCCTGCCAAATTGTATTTTTTTGTCTGGCAGTCATGTGCCCAATTTGAGTGAATGGTTCATAAATGCAGTAAGTGTAGGAGAAGATTAGATTAAGTCGACACTGCTGTATCTCTTCCCACGGCAAATAATGGCATTCCTGAGCATGAGAACACTTCGCGCTTAGAATAATGACTCGGGGTTGCCAAATAATGCAACAATTCCGTTCTCCTGGCACTGTTTTTAAGGTTCGAGCTTGACTGCAAGTTTCTTTCTCGTTCCTAGAATGTACTGTACGTCAATCTCATACATGTAAGATCCGAGGGTTGTTAAGAGAAGGGAGAGAGGGCAGCATAGATGTCGTGCGGGTCTGATCCGTTGTAAACTAATTAATGCACAAAATACCATACAGCGCAAACTGCATGGGACTCTGCGTGGACATTACTGTTCGAGGCTATCAACTGTCACATGTATGTCATTGAGTATATTTCCTATTTTAAGCATTCCTGACGAAATCTGAAAGGTATAGTTATCCATTACGAAACACGCCACCAAGTACCAGACGCGGAAAATTCAGCGCCATGAGCAAAATACTGGCGAGTGACCCTGCTGGTTGTTTTTAATGGCTGCCAGGTTTAAAATGAGAACTGAGTACTGTAAAAAGTGTACATTGTGTGGGTTGGTCCTTCCTGGAGTTATTTAATTTTACCTTCTAAAAAGAATGCAACGTCCTTGACAAGACTCCCGCTAAGGGGAACGTTGAACAGGTAGACCTATATATCAGTAACTTTAATCCCTTGAGCCAGCTATGAGTGTATCCTGTGCCCTATTCATTTGTATTAGGCTTATAGCCTATTCCCATTTTCCTAAACGATGTTTTGTTTGATTTCCCTGATGCGCATTTAACTGA